ATTACTGAAAGCAACTTGCTAAAAACTTTTAAGCTGATAACCAACAACTTTTTGCGAAGGGACAATAAATAAATATTAAATGTTCATATGAAAGTAACATCCGCACTGCTAGCCAACAGACAAAACTTTATCTTTTCACAAATTTATAGAAAGTGATAAAATTTTTAGAAGTGAAAACTTTCCTTTACTTAAGGGAAGTTTTGTTACAAAAAAAATATTCCACATAAAATTTAACATCTTGATTTTTGTTATTTTATAATTACTCTTTGTTGAGAATCGTTTTTTTTTTTTTTTTTCTTTCTTTCTCTAAATGTAGCTAAAAATAAAATTTTATTTAGTCTACAAATTGTGTTGACTATTATTCAGGTCGTTTTTTTTTAACCATAAACTTTATTATTTTTCATTGTATGTACAAAGACCATTTACGAGTGCATAATAATAATTGATAATGCCAATGCTGTTGACTAACCATTTTTACCTGCACTTATCTATTGCAGGCAAAGTTGAAATATGTTGTAGACTTTCTTGGTTATCTCATCTGAGCAGAAGGTCACAAACCAAGCTCATTAGCTCATTGTTTGAGTCATAAACAAAATCCAAAATATATAGTAGGTATTGCATTAAGCTGCGCGTGCTTATATTATGAATGCATTTTGAGCACATAATATTTCTATATTCTATATATTCAGATATGATATCATACGCTAAAACAATTTAAGCTACAATTGTCAACCAAATTTATGCTTTGCAGAAATTCTTAGACTTGAAAATTGCAAACATAAATAATATATTTCATGAGATGTGAAATTCCAAAACAAGGTTTCATTTGAGCTGATAATATCTTCAGTAGGTTTCATAAGCTCGCTTGCAAAGCTTACTGAATCTTGTAGCAAATTCAATAAATAAGCAAATATATACATACACATATATATATATATATAGAGAGTCTGTTAGAGCTTGGGCGTTTTTCACACACTCGAAAAGGCAAAAGCAGCGCTGCGCACACTTCAAGATACATTCACACCCATTCACAGTTGTAGCCGCAGTTGTTGTTGTTATTGTGATTGGTTTTCTGTGCGAGTTTACGAGAGAGATATCTTCTCGCACTACGCTGTCAATTGTGACATACTCACACATACTCTGTAATTATATGCTTATTGTTGTTGTAATTGGCGGCTGTCTTACGTTTGCTGTTCTTGTGGTTTTCAATGTAAAAATAAAAAATATATATAAAAATAACAATAAGCAACATTGAATGATTGCATGTTAAGCTAGGTAAGCTAGGTAAGCACCTCACAAGTTAAGCAACACAGATTATCGGCTTGTTATCTTAATAATAATATAAAAATTGTTATCAAAAAAAAAATTACTTTGCCTCGGCTCAAGCTACTAAAGTTCAAGTTTGTTTATAAACAAATTAGTTATGAGTTATTTAAGTTTTTTTTTCCCTCTTTCTTTATTTATTTATTTTATTTTATTTTATTTTATTTTATTTTATTTTTTTTATTTTTTTTTTTTGGTGAAATTTGGAAGTTGACCTTAACAAACTTAGACATTTAATAAATCTAAGCTTAGACATCTACTAATCTAATACACGTTACTTGAACTTTACAATAAAATTTAAATCAATATATATTGAATTGCTATTCTTTGCTAAATAGAAGTTAAGGTTCAAACTCGTTGACATCTGCTTTAATTTAACATCAACTTGAATAATCAAGTCAATTATCAAAACCTGAAAGTTCACTTAAGTCAAGAGATTTACATAATTTAATTTTAACATTTCCAGCTCCCATCAAAAAACATTCAAAAGCTCACATGACAATGCCTTAACTAGAATTTGACAACTGTCTTAAGACTCAGTTGACAAGTGCTTGATATACTAATCAAGTGTCTGACAATAGTAGATTTCTTCATAAGCAACTTTTTTTTTGTGTCTTTTCGAGCTGTCAAATTTTTGCTGTAACAAATTCTTTGGGAATGTGTCCGAAATGTAATTTTGATGATGAAGCAAGGTCGTGTAAAGAAAAAGTTCATGTGAAATAAACAAAAACAAAATCTGCAGCCTGACAGCTTGTTAAGGTGCGTGTCAAATTTGACAGTTAGATGCTGCATAAATTATATACATATAGGATATATTATTTATAAACAGCATGCTAGACTTAAGCGCGAAACCCAAGCATATTCATCAAATAATCAAATAAATAAATAAAATAAGAAATACTTTTATCTAATGAATTTTAATGCAATGCGCATGGAAAACAAATAAAAAGTGCACGAAACTCGTTGAAGCAAAGGCAAATAAATGTACAGATGCCACTTAGATATAGAGAGTAATAGAGTGAGAGAGCGAGAGCAAGACAGAGTGCGCAATAGATCATATAAGATTTACGATTAATTTGCGGTTTGCATTACTATTGTGATTGCGCTTAGAATATATAAGCGTGTTTAGTGGAATATACACATATATACATATAGACTTTATACATATATATATATGCACATATAAAACTTTTGACCACGTTTTTTGATTTTTAATTCCAAACGTTTTGCGCAGACTTAAACAAAAGTAATCCACATAATAGACCCAAAACAACGACGACGACGACGACCCTGGCAATTAAATTAATTGAGCATTTGCTCTGCTTTTTATAAACTTTTATATTTGTTTTCTTTCTTTTTTGGATTTTGCTCAACTAATCCCAAAATAAAGTGAGCAAAAAAGTCAAAGTTCAGTGGTATTAATTTTCGCTATATCTCTTTGGGTTTGCCGCTGTCATTTTATATCTCCCTCTAGCCGTCTCTCTCTCTCTCTCTCTCTCTCTCTCTCACTCTCTCTTTCCATGTCGCATTATTGTTCTCTTTTGTATTAATTTGTATAATGCACATACGCCCCTTCAGCCGGAACAAATGTGTAGAATGAGTAAACGGCGCACATTCGCCCGGTTCACATGACAAAATAGCGAAAATGCTGAGCTCAACTCATGTGAACCTCGTTTTTAATGCCAAAAACAAAAATGCTGTGAAATTAAGCAAAACGCACACGCATAAGCATCCATAGCATGCACAACCCCTCCCTGAACCTAGACTAATTTATGCTTAAATATTAGGCGCCTCCCCCCTCCCAAGGTCGACAAATGATGCTTAATATACACGACACGGGTCCAATAAATTGTTCAGCTTGGCGTCGCTTAGCTGCTCTACTGTACTCTACTCTTCTCACTCCTTCACACTGCCTTGCTTGCTCTCCCTTTCCCACTATATAGCAAATAGTTTAATTTGACTTTTGGGCCCAAGCTGTTGTGGAATTTTCGGGGTTAGGGTTCTTGGTCAAATTGAAGTCTGTTTGCCTATAGTCCAATGTGGCTAATTTGTATATGTTGGACATTCAGATGTTTGCATCAAGTTTTGCAAGCCCCAACAAATTCATGACATCACATAAACTGAATAAATAATTCAGATTAGATGAACAAAACACAGGTAATTTATAGGTAAATATCTGAAGAAGTTTAGTACGTGTATTCACCAAATTAAATGTATTCTATTATTCAAGTAGATATTGTATTCAATTTCTTGTTGAGCTATAAGAATTAGATTGAATTATCATACTCTTAAGTTCTTTAACTACTTGAATTATAAATAAAATTATTACCAAGTCGGCTTAACATTTTAATCAAATGCATTCCATTTACCTCTTACTATCATCTAAGTTTTATGTAAATAACATTTAAATATTCTATATACTCTAGGTTAACTATTTCCAGTTGGGAACTGCTATTTAATGGCCTATTGCGCCGCTTAAAAAAATCAGTCTCTCAACTGACCCTGAACTCAATTTATTAATGTACATTCGAGTCTGACACGTAGAGGTAGTGGGGGGGGCGCTGTTAGACGGTCTTTATCGCCGACAGGTGAGCGATGGCCATTAAACAGTGCAGTCGATAGCCTTATAAACAAAATGTGGAACACAAGAAATCAATCAATAGCCGCAGCTGATAAGAAGGCGCACACAATGAAAAATGTTGTAAGATATTGATAAAAAAAAAAAAAACAAAAAATTGCCAACCAGATGATTGGCAGATGTTAGCCATAAATGTGCCATAAAAGGGGTTTGCAGTCGACTGCTGAGAAAGATAATGGCATATGTGGCTGGGGAAGGGGTTTCGAATTCAATAAAGGGCAATTGGATATAAGGAAAGAGATGAGCGAAGAGATCCGTATCAAGTCATTGCATTATTGAAATTCTGGAGATGCAAATTTAATTCAAATTTTATTACCATAACAGATCATTATAGTAACAAATATGAGTTGAATTTCCATATTCAATTGAGTCACTGGTAAAATTGTAAATGAATTAAGGAAGTTATAAACGCGACCTTGATTGGAAGATATATATATATATATTTGGAACTGAATAACCGATTAAAGAGACCAAATTTCGTTCTAGCATTCGATTTGATCTATTTTTCCGACAAAAATAAAAATAAAAAAAAATTAATTTAAGGAATTGTTAATATTGAAAGAGTTAAGAAAAATATATATTTGACATATAAAATCAGTAGAGTCTAAATTAAATATTAAAATCACGAATGAAAAGAGAAACAAATGCCTAAAAAATTATATTGGAGCTGGAATATATGACTGATATGATTAAGAGTAAAATATATAATTTTAAATTACATGATTAAGAGCATTAGTTGATGCAACTATGCAAAATATATTATCTCTCTTAAGCCAAAGAGCAAAAATGAGTAAGATCATTAAATTCAAGTGAAAATTCCACATGGAATGAAGTAGAATCGTTGAAAAAGAATTAAGTAATGGAAACGCCTATAGAAATACAGGTAGGCGCTGATTACAAACAACCAAAAACAATCACTTTTAAACCAAAACCCCAAAGGGCTCTAATGCAATGCAAATGCAACTAATGCAATCAGTATGCACTCTCCTTATCATCTATGAGTTTCACAATTTTTGCTCAGTGCAATTGGATGACTTACCGCTTAACCATCAGCGGTTGCAAACGCTTAGCTGCACCGGCTGTGCTGGCAGTGGGCGATGTGGGTGACTGTGATTTGGTGAGGCGCGTAAAGACATTGACGCCGGCGCCGGCGCCGACGCCGACGCCAACAGAGCCTTTATCCTGTGGCTGCCGCGTTGACGTCGGCGTTGTGGGCGTGGCATTTCTAACACTAGTGCTGCGCTTTACCACCGACGGCGTCACCGACGGCGATCGACGTACAGTGGGACTGATGCGCGGACTACCGCTGCTCGAAGGACTGCGCGCCGCAGTGGGCGTGGCGCCAGTGCCGGTCATGGGGCGCGTGGTGGACACTTTGGACTTTACATCATTGTAATTAGTTTTGATTGTTGACTTATTGCTGGCGATTTTATGCATAACGGCATCCCATTTATTGGGCGTCTGTGATTTGCGCGCAACGGGCGCCTTAGCACTGCGCGGCGTTTGCGGCGATTTCTGTTTACGATTTGCCGTTGCCTTGCCCGACGACGATTTCGGCGACAAGAGCGACGAGCTGGAAGAGAGCGAACCCGAAGCCGTTTGTAAATTCTCAACAGTGCAGAGCGACGTCAACGATGCGTGCGGACGCGGCGAAGTTACGCGCTGTACTGATGATCGTTGTTGCGCCTCGCTGCCGCTGCCGCTGCCGCTGCCACTGGCGCTGCTCGCATTGAAAGCTTCGTCGCAAAAGCTCTTGGCGCTGCCGCCGTCAACGCTACAGTACGAGGTGCGATTTGAGAGCGTCGTCGCTGCCGACGACGAGGAGAGCGGACGTGGCTGCACGAGCTGCTGTTGCTCGTTTCTCTCCCGCTGCGCTTGACCTTGAGCTTTGCGTAGGGTTTGTGTTGACTCGTCGGGCGACATATCGACATCCATATCCATGTCCACCTCCAGCTCGGGCAGACGCATTTCCTCATCGCAGCGATTTTCGACATCTGTAAAAATGCCCGATGATTCCATGCACGAATCCTCCAGCTGCGGCACCGATGCACTCGGCTGCATAGCCGGCCCATACAGCTGCCCGTCGATGACCTGGGCCCGCCGATCGCCACGCTGCAGTACATCGTCCGCATCGGATTCAGTAAAGAAATCGGAATCGGTCATCGGATCCTGGCGACGCATCGGAGCACCTCCGCCGGCTGGCATGGGCATGGGTGGAAAGCTCGGTTGGCGGCTGACGCGGCCCAAGTGGGGTCCATTGCTGGGCGAATGATCGCAGGCGCCGCGTGAAGCGGGACGCGACATCTCACCGTCGCCCTGATAGCCCGTATCCAGGCTGGTCACACTGGTGACGCTGGTGATGAAACTGTTGCTCAGCTTGGCATTCACCTGGGCAGCGGGCGCGGCGACGGAGGTGGCGACAACGGCAGCGGCCGATGTGGAGGTGGCGGTGGACGCCGGTGCAGGTGTCGCTATGGCAGCCGCCAGCTGTGGCTCTATGGGATCCAAAGGCAGCTCCTCGGGCGAGGGAGTTTGCTCCAGGCGCAGCTGCTGCTGCAAGTGTTGCTGCTGCTGCTGTTGCTGCTGCAGTCGCTGCTGGTATTGCTGCTGCTGATGCAACATCTGCAGCTCCAGCTGATGATTAAATATGGCATTGCTGTTGTTGTTGTGGTGGGATGATGAGTCAAGGAACTCTTCCATTTGATCCGGCGTCAGTATGCCCAGACTCTCATCCAAATCGAAACTGTGTTGCTTCTTCAGCAGCTGCTGCTGCAACAGTTGCAGCTGCTGCTGCGACGAAGATATGGAGCTATCCACCAGTTCGATTGACGCATCCAGCGTTGTTTCCTGCAAATCCAGACCGAGGCTGTACCGCGAGGAGCGCGGCGTACGCAGCTGAACTGCTGTCATGGTTCCATCCAGTGGATTGGACAGCAGTTCGCCCTCCGGCGTGCGCGTCGGCAACACCAAATCACTTCGGGCCGCCTTCAACAAGGGCGACAGCAAATGCACCGGCACCGGCGACTGCTGAAAGCGTCCGGACATCGGCGTCGTCGTCGACGTCGCCCACTGCGGCGTCAGGCAGACGAGCGATTGCTGTGGCACAGAGCGCCGTCCGAGCTGTGGATTCATGCAAGTCGGCGACTGCTCCAGGAACTCACGCGTCAAGTTGAGCAACTGAATGTGCCGGGCCGGTGACTGCAATCCACTAATGTCCAGCAGCCGTTCCGTATTGATGGTGGAATTCAGCGGCAGCTTCATGTTGTTTTTGTTCGGCGCCAGCGCCGTCAGCGTAACGTCCAATTCGGAGCTGTCCAGATCCGTTTCAGCGGTTTGCTCCGACTTGACGCCACTCAACATGTCCAGGCCTGAGGGCATGGACATGTGCTCCAGCAAGGGCAGCTGATCCATGCTCTTGGTCAAGTCCAGCGACAGATTGTGAGTTAGTGTAGTATCCAGATCCTGTTTGGCTGGCTTATAGAGTTGCATGCAATCCTCTCGATGATAGCTGCGATTATCCAACAGCTGGTCGACATCTCTTGCCTCGTCCCCTGCTGGGATTACAGGCCGAGTGCGATCCGCTCGAGAAGAGCTGAGATTACCTATGGACTGTGTCGCATCTGCCGCCTCGCTGCTGGAGAGGATTACGGGACGCGTGCGATCCGCTCGAGAGCTGCTCAGATTACCCATTGACTGTGTGGCATCTGCTGGCTCGTTGCAGCTGGAAATAACGGGCCTGGTTCGATCCGCTCGATGGGAACTGTGATTGCCCAGCAGCTGTGTGGCATCCGCCGCCGTCTCATTGCTGGCAGGGATTACATTATGCGTACGATCTGGCTGGGCACAGCTCGCGTTGCCCTCGGCTGACTCATTGATGGAGAGAGTTATGGTGCGTCTGCGTTGATTCGACAGCTGTACTGCATTCTTATCCAGCTCCAACTGTTCCTTCTCCAACATAGCACTTCTATTGTAATTTTGCGCACAGCTACTTTCACTCACATCCATATCTAAGGTACGCCCAAAGCCGACGCTGGAGAGACGCGTCTGTTCCAAGCACATCCGACTGGGCTTGCTCTCCTCAAGCTGTTGCTTCTCCTCATCGCACACAAACGTCTCGGAGCGCATCAGCGGCATGGGCGTGCTGCTAGTTAGTAACGATTGTGGTGGCCTCTGTGCCTGCTGCTGCTGCTGCTGCTTGGCCGTTGGCAGCGGCGTCTGTGGCAACGAGCTTGTCATCAGATTGGAGCAGTTGGAAGCTCCAGATGCGCTGCTGCTCATCATTTTGCCCTGCCCAAAGACTTTCCTTAGGACATTCGGGGTGCGTTTGCTAATCAGACTGACGACATTGTTCAATCGTTCGCCGGACGAACTCTTCCTGATGCTGGCGCCCAGATCATGCAGCGGCACAGCCGTCGGATGATAGGAGCTAATGGGACGTGCTCTCGTAGTGGCATGGGCTTTGCCATTGGCATTGTCCGGCAATGCGGGCGCACGAAAGATTTGTGTTGTCGACTTCAGCGCTGTGGGTGGGCGTATGTGTGAGGTGGTCGTTCTGGTGGTAGCGACGGTTTTGATGTAGCTGCTAGCAAAGCTGCCAGGCGGTGGTAAGCGGCAGTGGCCACCCAACCGAGGAATGCGCGTGGTAGCTGAATCCTGCAAGCAATGTAAACAAACATTTCGTGAATTAAATTGTTATGGCTGAAATGAGTCAGAGTCAGAGGCAGAGAGAAACGCTCCAAGAACGTGAACGACTTGTAGCTACCCTATCGTAATATAAATATTAATTAATTTACGTAAAAAGGTGATGTTCTCTTATGCTGGTTTCCTTTTGAGCGTAAATATACACACCTAAAGAGATAAGTTTGTGTCATATTGGCTTATGAACAACTAACAGATACCCTGTACACGAACTTTATTTTGCTTTATTTAGCCTTTGTAACAGCTTTCTTAACAATTTCGTTTTCATAACTTCACTCAATTACAACATACCCTCTCCTGTTCTCACTCCACTGACTACAGGGTATGCAAATCCGACGAATGCCTCAACAGATTACGACAGCTGTCGACTGACCTAGCACTCTACATCTCATTCCCTCTACCCTGCTCGCTCCTGGTAATGTGCGTAGTTATTTGGCGCCCTGGCGCCAATTGGACTTTGGGCCCTTGCTCCATTCGCCCGTAGTGCACGTGCTTAGACTTCGTATGTTCTTGGTTTTTTTTTTTTTGGCAGGCGCCATCCTGCAATGTAGTTCACTGGGGCGTATCCACTTGGCACCAGTTCAACGCACTTTAAAACAGGGTAACTGACAAGAGAGGTGGGCGGCGGGATGGTATGTGTGGGTAGGAGAGGGAGGAAATTGATAGCGAACAGCAGTCAGCCTTTAGCACTGGCAGGGGTTGCCTGGCGCTGATGTCATCAGTCTATGCAATTTTGATGGGGTTCATTATGTATACCCCATAGCTCGTAATTAGAGGGTATATTGTTATTTACAGCCAAGAAGAAAATACTTTCTAAATACTTTTCAGCACATTTCATTAATCTATCTTAATCTACAAATCAATTTGAGAGTCTTAAGGAATATACTACATATATCATATTTTAGCTTGATACTTAGCGGAATGAAATTGAAATCCTAAAGCTATTAATTTTGCTATGAGTCCTGCATAAATATTATATATTATATATTTA